TTCAGCTAGATACAGATATAGACACAGTGAGTCTATTCCTTAGTTTTGAAATTTCATTTTTTTCTGCCTCTTTCCAAAATCCAAAAAATATATCTCTCACTCTCTTCATTATCCATCTTTTCTGTTTATTCTAGACCCTTGTTCTCTGATTCATGACCCCTAGAATTATCTGGTCCCTCCTTTTTCTCTGTATTCTTCATGCAATCAAGACTTCCAAAGTATCCGTGCTGGGCTGTCCCCTCTAGGTGCCTTCCAACACTGCCTTATAGGGCTTGCCCCATGGATCCCCTCTTTCATTTCCAGAATAAGCCAATGATTGCAGGTGTCAGAAAGGACACTGTCCCCTGGTAGGGGCCCTCCGCCACCAGGTCCCTGATTATGCAGCCCACCATTGATCATACCCTCATTTGTTAACCTTTTTTTCTTTTCTTCTTTTTTTCTTTAATTTTCTTTATTTTTTGTTACGTTTTAAGCTCCAAACTGTCTCCCTCCGTCCTTCCTCATTCTGCACTAGAGAAGACCACCATTTGACACAGAGATGGACAGGGATGTTATCTATCTATTTATATGTAAAACCATACCATGCACACCTCTATTGATCAGTTGTTTCTCTAGAGGTGATAGCATCCTCCTGCATAGGTCCTTTACAGTTGATTTGAGTATATATAATACTCGGAATAGCTTAGTCATTCACAGTTGTCCTTTGAACAATCCCGCTGTTACTGCATACGATGTTCTCTTGGTTCTGCTCGTTTCACTTTTCATTATTTCATGCAAGTCTTTCTATGTTTTCTTAAATCACCGAGCTCATCATTTCTTACAGCACAGTAGTATTCCATCCGAATCATATACCCTAACTTGTCTGGCCATTCCCCAACTGATGAGCATCCCTGAACTTTTTTTCTCCATTTCCCTGGAAAGCTGTTCCTGGTGCCCATTGCCCCCCACAGGACAAGTAGCCTTTTCAAGCACCGAATCCCCCAGGCCTCGTCCAGTGGGAGGTCCCCTCTTCCCTTCATTGACCCTTTCTCTTCACTCATAGGAGCATTCATCAGTGGAACCCCCGCCCCCCTCAAAGTAAGGCCTCCTTCCTTCCCCCTCCCGTTTTTCAATCATTCTCACTTCTCCTCAGCCACTCCCCTGTAGCCTCTTTCTGAGACCACAGAGGTCCCCTTCCCCTCATTGCCAGCCCTTGATTTGAGCCCGGTGCATCACTCCCTCCTCTCTATGCCCCTGCTCCCCTCTCCCCCTTTTGTGCGCCTCCCTGTTGTAATGGAGTCCCACAGAAACAGCAGTCTCCTGTAGGCAGAGGGTCTCCAGCTTCTGAACATAATGCCCCCTTTCCACCCCCTCACTGATGCCTCTATCAGATTTCTGTCCTCATCCCTGTCTCCTTGTGGCCCTTTAGGAAGAAGCCTCCTCCTGATCTCCCTGTTGTCACTGTTGCTGCGGCTGGCCTTGCCCGCTGCGTTCTGTTCACTCTTCCTGCATTTCTGTTGTTTGATGCAAAACCTCTCTTCGGTTCTGGCTTTCTTTCTACAAATGTTTCAAACTCTTCTTTGTTATTGAACGCCCGACATCTTTGGTCCTATACAGTTAAACTCAGATTTGTAGGACAGGTCACCCTGGGCTGCATCCTGAGCTCCTCCTTTTCAGAACATGTTATTCTATTCTCTCCTCCTTTTCTGGTGGCTGCAGAATAGTCTTGCTTTACTCAATTGCCCTTTCCTTTGTATTTAAAGGTCTTTCTCCTGATGGCTTACAGAACTTGTTTTTTTAATTAAATTGTTAAATATAATTACTATAAGTCTTAGAGTTTGCAGCCTTGAATTTTTTTCTGAGGCAATCTGTGAATTCCTTGGAATTTCATTTTCTATGTTTAGAAGTTCTGGATGTTTTCTTCTATTATTTCCTTCATTATGGTATTAAGGGTTTTTGTCCTGTTGCGTTTTTCTGGTAGTCCTTTGATCCTTAGGTTGTCTCTGTCATCCAGTCTTAGAATTCAATGTTTGCTTACATAGTGAGCGTGTTTGTATTTTTTTCTTTTTTGCTTTTTGGTGAGGCAATCAGGGTGAAGTGACTTGCCCAGGGTCACATGGCTAGTGAGTGTTGTGTGTCTGAGGCTGGATTTGAACTCAGGTCCTCCCGACTCCAAGGCCGTAGCTCTACCCACTGTGCCCCCTGGCTGCCCCTCAAGCATGTTTTCTTTCAATGTTCTTGTTTTTTGCTTCTCTTCTTCTAGGTTGTCCCTTAGTTCTTCATCTTCATGTTTCCAATCTATTGTTCGCTCTTTTGTTTCTTTGGTGAGGCTTGCATTGGAACTTCGTGTTTTTCTATTCTGTCCATTATTTTTGCTGTGCAGGCCATAAATTCTGTTCTCATAATTCTCATTTATTCTTTAAATGACTCAAGAACAGTGGCTTGTTGTTCCTATGTTCTCCAGTTCCACGGGGTCCTTTGTCTTAACAAATGCTGGATCATTTCCTACTTTCCTTCTTTCTTCTACTTCTTTTTTTGGGCAGTATTTATTCATAAACGCCTGAATTTGTTTACTATATCTGGAGGCCACGTTTCCTTCTGTTGTTAGTGTCTTTCCTGCTGATTTATCTGTTAATGTTCAAAGTCTTTGAGATTTCTTCTTTCCGATATCGTTGTAGTTTCAGTCTTTCCCCCCCTTATTTTCCTTATCATTCACTTCATGACTTCTTTCCCTCTCTGGTTTCCTTGGGGGTTGAATCTCCAGGAGTCTCAGCCTCCTCCCACCCTGGGCAAGTCGCAGTTCACCAGCCGAGGTCTCTGGTGCAGCTGACTCTTGGGTGGTCAGAACTGGTCCCAGGTGGATCGCCACTCCAGCCCACAACCCCAACACATGGTGTCTGTCCTGGTAACCAGTCCTACCCCTTCTGTTCCTCAGATCTCTATCCCAGCACCAGCATTCGGAACTTTGCAGCATTGGTGCTTGTGGATTGCAGCCCACGGCAGGCTTTTGCTCCTGAAGGGCTGTGGACAAGCTGGCAGTTGAAGCCTGGAGCTAGAGGGGTCTCTAAGGCGCTGGGTAGAGGGAGTGGGGACTAGGGCATAGAAGTGGGTTTTGATATAAGCCTGTTGTGCTCGTAGAGCTCCACTGTCAGCAGTACGGAGGGGTTGAGGGGAAGAGTGCAGAGCCAGCTCAGGGTCATTGAGTGAGAGTTCCTGGGCTTGGGGTTTGTTTTGGATTCTGAGGGTTCTAGACCATGGAGACAGTGATATTGCTTTATCTTTGGTGCATCGTTTTTGTTTTGCAGAGGTCTGAGAGCATGGGGATCAGAGAGAATGTCTAGTCAACCATCTTGTTGTTCACATGACCCAGAAGGCTTGTGCTTAATAAATGTTTATTGACCTTTCGAGCCTCTCTAGTCCCCCTCCCCTTTCCAGCTGCTTGTACGTGCTCCCCAAATTACCTTGTGTTTTCTATATATATTGGGTCTCCCCCAGTAGAATGTTAGATGCAGCTGAGTGGCCTATAGAATTCTTCACTTGGAGTCAGGAAGACCTGAATTTGAATATGACCTCACACACCAGCTGTGTGATCCTGGGCACATCACTTAACCAGTTTGCCTCAGTTTCCTCCATCTGTAAAATGGGCACACTAATAGCACCTCCCTCCCAGGATTGTCATAAAGTGCTTTGTATATAACTGTTGGTTATTAAGTAACCGCTCACCTAGGTCATAAGTGACAGCAGCAGAATTTGCACTCAGTTCCTGGGACTGCCCACTGTGCCACCCTTTCTGAGCAGGTGGTTTCTAGTGTGCCTCGAGAGCCACATGACTTCCCTTTCTGCCTCGATGGCTTTGTGATGTTGTTGTGTGAGATCTCAGTGATACACAGGGCTGTTCCCAGAGTCCTGTCCCAGCCACGGTGCTCATCCCACCCAGAAGCAGTGAAAGCCTCCTTGCACTGTGACATCTGCTGGTTCATCTTGCTTGCCACCCATACTGTGTGGTTGTAGGCATCTGAGGCAGCTGGGCCTGGAGCCAGAAGACCTGAATTCATAGCCTGCCTCACACACTTACTGTGTGACCTTGGGCAAGTCACATCATCTCAGTTTCCTTATCTGTAAAATGGGACAATAATAATAGCATCTGCCTCAGAAGGATGTGGTGAGAATCAAATGATAAACTGTTTGTGGCTCACTTTGCAGACCTTAAAGGGCTAGGTGAGGAGAAGGAGGAGAAGGAGGAAGGAGGATGTTGACTTGCATCCTCTGACTGGCCTAGGGAATCCTGCCAACAGCCAGGAGCCTTATCAGGTCTCCCTCTCTCAGTAAGTTTGAATACCTGTTAATCATCTGTCCTCCCCAACGAGGAGCCTGGGCTAATCTTGGGACAACAGAAAAGATGGCCCAGGTGGGTCTTTCCAGCAGGCGAGGCCTCCAGAGAGAAGGGGGCTTCTCTGGACCAGGCGGTTTCCACAGAGCTTTCATTCTCCCCACCCCCCTACCCCTGAGCCCCTTGTGCCATGCCAGCTTATACATAACGGCATCCTCAGTGCCGCCGGGCTCCGGAGAACATCTGCTCTGCTATGTCCTCTTGGACTGTCCGGGCCTGAAGCTCCCCTTGCCCGATCCATTTCAATATGTGGCTCAGAGGGGAGTGTCCCTGCTGAGGCAGAGACTAGGCTGGGGAGGGGAGGGGGCTGCAGAGCCCAAAGAGGGGCTTGAAGTCCGGAGATCCTGCGGGGTAGTCCCAGTTTTGTCTTTGGCTGTGTGACCCTGGCCAAGGCCTTTCCCCTCTCGGGGCCTTCATGTCCTTATCTATAAAATGGAGTCCTTGAACTCGACGGGCTCCCAGGTCCCGTCCAGCTCTGACATTCTGTGGTTCCGTGATGCCAGGAGAGCTTAGCAATAGTGTGGTGATTGCCTTTCGGCCTTCCTGACCTGAGGGGGCAGGGCAGTGGGGATGGGACTCCCTCAGCAGGAAGGGGTGGCAAGCCCAGGCTAGCAAGACGCACACGGCACCAAAGAGGTCTTAAGATTTTAATAACGAATGGGAAAACCAGTTACAAAATCAAACAGACAACATAGAACCGTGTGTGTAGTGATAAAAACATGTAAACAAACTGAGGCTATTGTGCGGCCACTGGCCCCAGAGACTCCTAGCAGAGGAGGGCCGAAATCCTCGGAAGGTAACCTGGACGCACCAGCACAGGAGCGAGGTGGAGAAAGGTCCTCAGGTGCCCAGCCGGGGTTCTCCTCTCCGGGGCCTCTGCCTGGTCTGGGGGGCAGCCGCGGTGTCGCCTTGTGTCTCGTGAGACTCTCGGGCTGCTCCAGACTGACGACTGATGATCAGTACTCAAGGATGGCCCAGGTGTCCAGGCCTGTTCAACTCTTCGGGTCTGGCCATCAACCAACCCTTTCAGCAAGGTTGGAATTATGTGTGTACTGTCTTTTGGGAGCAGCTCTCTCCCTGGCCACAAATGACGAAAACCCCCAGGGCACTCTGGCCAGCACTCCAGAGTAACCTTCTGGGCCAAAGAGCTGGAGAAGTGTGGACCCTCCCTTATCAGTGCGGAGCACAAATGAATATCCTCTCTAACCTGAGAACTGAGAGGCACATCTCCACTTCGGAAATGGGGAAGGGGTGCTCACAGGTTCAGCTAATGGCCTCCTTTCCCTTTGGTGAACATTCCACCCTGGGAATTTCACTCTTTCCTGTTGTCCTGGGACTGTGTGGAGCCCTCCCCAAAACCGTGGGGCCTGCTGCCCCATCCCCCATCCCCACCAAGGTTCAGACCCTTACATCTGAGCCCATCTATGCTACTTCCTTTCAGGTGCTGAAGGAAATGGTGGATTCCGGGTGACAAAGGCACAATCATTTCATCTTGGCTGCCCCTGGGCAGAGCCAGAAGGAACCTGCCGGAGTGGTGAGTGACCCAAGATGCTATGTGGGTCCATTTAGGAGTGGAGAAGTGAGGAGCAGCCCCAGGAAGCCCTGAGTGGGGTGCTGCAAGGGGACCACGGCAAAGGCCAGGACGGAGCAGCACGTCCTCGAGACAGGAGGCCCTGTGCCTTGTCCAGGCATATTCTGGAGAACAGAAAGAAAGCAGACAGCTGCCTGGGGAGGGGGCCAGGTCCCGGGGCAGACAGGCCCACAGAATACCTGCCCACAGTGATGAGCCCCAAAGGAGGTAGGGATCGAGAACAGCTGGCTAGCTCTGCCCATCTTTGAAAAAGATCTCTATCAGCACCAAAAATATATTAGTATCTGTGCATTGGTCATCTTTCTAAAAAAACCCTAAGGAAAGAAATCAAATGAGCTTGTGCCTTGGGAAGGCCAGTGCGCGCGTGCAGTGGTCTCAGCGTCTCTGGGCGTATGAGTACACAGCAGGGTTGGAGCCACATACCCGCCATCAGCCATTTTTATCAAGTGGCTTTTCTTCAGATAGTCTCGAATGGGAAGTCTTTGTTCAGCCAACAGGCGCTTACCCCTGAGCCCCCAAAACCTGGCGGCTCACGGCTTATCGTCTTCAAGTCTCACTTCAACAAAACCAGAGGGAAACGTGGGAGTGTTTTCTGAAGAAAGTGGGTGGAATCGTCCTCACGCAAAGAAGGCTGGGCCTGCATGGCAAAGCCTTCCACGGAGTGCCCCTGCACCTGGGCAGTGAGGGGCAGCAACTCTGTGCCCGGGGGTCCTTTGCCCAAATGGTTTGGCTGCAGTGGGCTTGGCGCCCTCCCTCCAGGTGGGCAGAGGGCCTGGCCTACCTTGGGGTGTAGAGATGGTGATTGTTTGACAGAAGGATGGTGACTGTGTCTGGGTGGGCCACATCTCTGCTTCCTCCCAGCTTAGAAGGGGCTGGGCCTGCAGGGTGAAGTCCACCATGGAGTGCCCCTGTGCCTGGGCCGGGACAGGTGGTAGCTCTGTGCCTGGGGTGGTCCCTCACCCAAATGCTCTAGCTGCGGTGGGCTTGGCGCCCTCCCTCCAGGTGGGCAGAGGGCCTGGCCCTCCTTGGCGTTTAGAGATGGTGGCTGTTTTGCGGTAGGGTGGTGACTGTCTGCAGGGCGCCAGCTACCTTCTTCGAAGTCTTCCTCAGCAGCGGGCTGTCAGGGTGATGCTCCTTCAGGTGGAGGACGTGGCCCTCCTGGCTGTCGGAGGTGCAGCCGCACTCCTCGCACACGTAGAGTTTGGCCCGCCTCTCTTTGTAGGCATACTTCTGCTGCACCCCGTGGATTTTCTTGAGATGGGATTCGAGGGAGCAGCGCTGGGTGAAGGCTTTGTCACACAAGCTACATTTGTAGGGACGAACACCTGAAGGGAAGAGAGAAGCGGGAGTGACGAGGGGCCCTTCCCCAGAAGCCCTCCAACCTTCCTCTAGCTCGAGTCCACCCCGAATCTTCTCTGCAGAGATGCCTGGCCGAGGGAGGTGGAGAGCAGGGAGCTAGCCCTGCTGTGCCCCCAGCAAGCCTGCCATCTTGGCTCCTCACGTCCCCCCTTTGTCTCTTAGTAAGGAGACTAGTTTCGGGTCAGCCTCGTGTTCTTTCCAACAGCACCAGCTCTGTGCCGTGCTCTGGATGGGCAGTCCTGCGCCCTGTCCCGGTGGATGCCCCGACCCTCCCTGGCCCAGTCTGGTTCGGGGGCTGTTAGCCTGGCAGGCCCCTCGGGGGTCTACCCACTCACCGGTGTGTGTGCGCACGTGTCTTTTGAGGTCAAAGGTATCGTTGAAGCCCTTCCCACAGTAGGTGCAAAGATGTCTCTTGACATCATTGTGGCATTTCATGTGTCGGTTAAGCATGCGCTGGTAGGTAAAGGCCTTGTGGCAGATGTGACAGGTGAAGAGCTCCCCGCTCGGGCCATCTCCCACGGTCACCTGCCCAGGGACAGAGACGTGAGTGACTCCAGACAGAGCCCGAGCCTCAGTTTCTAGCTGGTGCTGTCTGGGGACTGGTCTGGCCCACACCCCTATGCCCTAGGCTCTCCCTCCACACCCTCTCCTGACTGCCCTGGCAGGCTTCCTCCAAAGCTCTGAATGCCCTTGAGCTGGGGGCTCAGGAGTCTGGGCCTTAGCTTTGCTGAGCCCTTTGCCAGCTTCTGAGCAACCCCGCCTAACTGATCACGAGAGCTGGTGCAAAGATGGCGGGGGCAGGAGCCAGAGCGAGCCTGGAGCCTGTGGCCAGTGTCGCCTCCTGGACAAGAGTCCCAGGTGTGTGAAGTGCGCAGCTGCCCCTCAGCCTGTCACTGCTGGGGCCTCCTCTGGCAAAGCCTGGAGGCCGCTCAGGAGGAGGCCTGGGCAGCAGAGCTCAGCTCACTACATCGCCCCTGCCCGCCAGCTCGGGTGGGCCTGCAGAAGCCCTCCCCCCTCCAGGACTCCGTCAGTCAGGCCTCAGTTCCCTCCTCTGTCAAACGGGAAGGTTAGAGCGGACGACAAAGTCAATCCTATCACCCTTCAAGCACAGGGCAGGATGTGATCCAATCCTTTGGAGGCTGTCTGAGAGACAAGGAGGGAGGGGAGCCGTCCGTCGGTCCACATTCCCTGAAGGGACCTCAGCCTTCTGGCCAGATGCCAGGGCTCATGGGCCACAGTCGTCATAAAGCCGGGCACCCCTCCCTCACCCCACCCCCAGGCTGCACAACAGGTGTGTGTGGTTACAGGACCCCAGCTCCAGCGGCCTCTCTGGAGGCCGAGCCTCGCCGCCCTTTGGGGCCTGCAGCTTCTCTGCCCTTTCGGCGGAGGGGGGAGTCTGCCGTCACTGTTCGACTGCCCAGTGTTTCCTCGACTCCCAAGACCAAAGAAGATCCCTAGGTTGGCATTTCCTGGAGGCCGTGCCCCTGAGCTCCCTGAAATTGGCCCAGGCTCCTCACCTTCATCTTGGGCCGCAGAAAGCCATGCTCATGGGGATGAGGGTCAGTCAAGTGGTCCAGGTTTTCTGGCGGCAGCTGCGCCACTGCGCAGGGCCTGGCGGCTGTACTGTAGCCAGACTCCCGAAGACTCATGTCCAGGGCCAGCGGACAGGAAGGAGGTTCGGCCACCGAGGGCTCCAGATCATGGTACGGCTGGGGTGGGCAGAAGCCGAGGCTGACTGTGGACACAAGAGCGAGCGCGGAGCACGTTAGAGCCGAGATCACTGAGACTGCAAACATTCTAGTCTTAGCTTGCCTTCAGTGGGGCAGCTGAGAACCCGGTGCCCAGGGACGAGGGGGCAGGCTCTGCCCCATCCCATCCAGGCTGCCCCATTAGGATAATTGTGGGCGATGCCAGCCAAGCAAGCATCGCAGCCCAGAGACATGCCCGCTGAGCAATTTGTGTCTTAGCGGAACTGGGAGGATTCAACCTTCTCTGCCAATTAGCCGCCATGGCAAACTGCCTGTGTGCCCCACCTGGGCTGGTCCCTCTGGATTCCTGGTGTGGGCCCCACCCCCTTTCATGGTGAAGGCCCAGGCAGGAGCTGGGGGGGCATCTCCCCAGATGCTTGCACCAGCACCCAGGATGGCAGAGGCCTGGCCGTCCCGTGCCATCCGGCTTCTCCTCCCCACCCTGGCACTGCACTCCTCTCAGCCCTTTCCTCCTGGCCTCTGCCACCTCTGGCAAGGGCCCCCCCTCCCTAAAGCCCCTGCCGTGTTCTAGCAAGGCCGGCCCACTGCCACCCACTCCCTGAATTCCTGGGAGGGGGCAGGTGGCTGTGGCCTGGCCAGCCAGGCAAACAGGCTACAGGGGTGGAGCAGGGAGGAGGCCCCGGGCTGCAACAGGTGGATTCACTGTAACAGTCTCCTGGGCTGCCTGCCCAGTCCTTACCCAACCCACCTCCACACCAGGGACCGCTCAGTGTGGCAGAGAGGGCTGGGCTGGGTTCCCCTGGGGCGGTGGCAGTGGCGGTGGAGGTGGTGGCAGCACCGATACCTGGCAGCCCCACGATGGTGCCCCTCCCCTCCCCTCCCTTCCCCGGGGCAGGCAGGGGGCGGGCCGGCTCCCCTCGGGTCCCTGGAGTAGCGGAGGCCAAAGAGTTCCCCCGGCGACATCTCCAGGCAAAGGTTTTCACTCTGGGGGCAAGTACTGGTTGGCTGCTTTTTGTCATACAAGGAAGCGCTTGGCCCTCCATGCACAGCCCACTGCCAGGAAGACTCTGAAGGCTCAAAGCAGAGACTGAGAGGGCCCCACAAAGAAAAGCTGAGGCAGGTCAGGGAGGGCTCAGAAAGGAAGGGAAGACCCTCGCCTGGCCTATGCCAGCCCCGCTTGGGCCTCCCCGCCCCCCAGCTCTGATAGCTCAGGTGCAGGGTGGGGCAGAGGGAGCACAGGAGGCGTCGCCATCCAGCGTGAGCCCTCACCCCAGCTCGGCCAGAACACTAGGATAGGCGTCCCCCAGCCCCTTCAGGAGGCAGGATTCGGCACCGCCTGCCCTGGACCGGTCCCTGGTTTATTGGCAGTGCCCATCTGCCGTCGGGAGCACAGCCGCCCTGGGGGCTGCAAGTAAAGGGGGTGGATTCCTGAAGCTCGGGCCCACAGGGAGCCCTGCGCCGGTCCCCAAGGTTGGGGGGGGCTTCCAAGACATGGTGAGCTTTGTGGGTGCTGACTACAGGCACGGGAGGCCTTGTGGGTTTGGGGGTGAGATGCCGCTGCCCGCCTGCTGTTTCTGGAGCCCCAGGAGGCTGGACAAGTCCTCTCTCTCTGTGATTCATCTGGGCCCTAGGTCTCCACTCAGGAGGAAGTCGGGCTCCCTCGGCTAGGCCGGTGGCCAAACTCTGTTTACCCACTCCTTGAGGCCAGG